TTGTGCTCCCTGTATTAAATACATAAAAATTTCATTATAGTATTCAAATGATGTGTTTAGCATTTGTTTTTTAAACACATATTTATAATTTCTCTGTTCTCTATTAAGTGGCCTATTTTTTGTGAACATGTCATATGATGCTGAGAAATAAGCATATTCTTTGGTGGTCTTAGTCATAAAGTGTATTTCTTCAGTTATTCATATACCTTTTTTTCAAGGTATTTCTTAAAACAATTTCATGATATCTTTTATGGCTTAACGCTCATAATTTTACTTTTAGGGTTGTGCTCTGAGTTTTAATTGAATTTTTTTTTCATTTAAATTCTTTGGCATTTCAGCCATTTTTCCTTTTGCTCTCCCACTATTTACTTTTCAGACTTCTTCTCTTTTGCTGAATAATACACCACCTAAACCTTGGCAGCAAAGTGTTTCATTCTCCTTTCACCTTTGTGAATCCCTTCTAGGAACATGAAGGCTGTAAAAGACTCGTTATGAATGAGCACTTAAAGGATTATTGCATGGTTGTAATCCTGAGAAGGCCAAGACTAGTGGATTGCTTGAGCTCAGGAGTTCTAATATGTAGTAGGATTAAAGTAGATAGAGTATCCACATTAATTCCAGCACCAATATGGTAGGCCCCAGAAGAAGGGGTGTCACAAGCCTGCCTAAGGAGGGACAAATCAATCCAAGTTAGAAACAGAGTAGGCAAAATCTCCCTTACCAGCCAGCAGTGGGGTCAGATCTGTGAATGGCCACTGCATTCCAGTTTGGGTGAGATGGTCAGCCAGAAAGAGAGAGACACAAAGAGAGAGAGAGAGAGAGAGAGAGAGAGAGAGAGAGAGAGAGAGAGAGAGAGAGAGAGAGAGAGAGAGAGAGAAAGAGAGAGAAAGGAAAGGAAAGGGAAAAGAAGGGAAAGAAAGAAGAAAAGAAGGAAGGAAGGAAGGAAGGAAAGGAAAAGAGAAAGAATGAAAAGAGCAAAGGAAGAAAAAGAAAATGATGATCACAGACTATAGTCACAGAATGGTTTATATTTTTTGTTTTGGAAGTATTCTCCATTTAGCTTATCTAAAATACACATTTCTTGCAAATTTTGTATCAGTTGGGTTGATGAGGAGAGAGCAAAACAGAATGACTGTTTTTTTTTATGTTTTCAGTATTCTCTGAATCGCCAATGTAACTCAATGCCACTAATTGAGAATTAGATTCTTGTCATAGTCATCCTATAACAACTCCTTAAAGAGTAGTTAAGAATGACTTTCTTTTCTTTCTCCAATGAATGAATTAGTTCATTGGTGTAGTCTTTAACCAGAATTGGAGAAGGGGGGTAGAAACGGAATTGGGGGAATGAAGGGAAGGAAATGATGCACTCTCTATACTTTGTAGGTTTATATGCTATGGTTTCCCAGACTTATTTGATTCATCTCCTAGTTCCCATAAAGGAAACACTTTTTAAACAAAAATAAACACCACAAATTCCTAGAGCTCAGGAAGCATGTCATGCAAAGAGAAATATTCCATAGCAACACTTTTTTTTTTTGGTGGTAGCAAGTAGGTAAACATTGTGATACCTGAATCTGCCATTAAATGTCATTGTGTCACAAGAAATGACATAAGAATTCAAAGAATCACATTAAAACATATGAATTGCTATAAAGTAAGCTAAATTAAAGGGGAAATCTACAAAAATGTTATAACAAGGTATAAGATAACGAAAAATAAAAGAAAGTGTATTGTAGTTCTATTGGACCTAGAGAAGAGTTGAGAAATTGCACCTCCCTCTGTCCATTGTAAATTTAGTGTCCCATGGATGTATAATATTGCGTATATCTGTCAGACATGGTTGATCTGTTACTTTATTTTCTGAGCTACATTTTACTCTTTCAAAATATTTGCTATAAGGAGTAGCTTGCTGTGTAGGAAAGAGGAAGGGAAACATTCAGAAATAAATGTGATGAAGAAAACAAAAGGCATCAAAGAAAAGAGAAAGAAGAGAACTTTATTCCTTTAGGTACTTCAAAATGCTTTTTGATTGCGATGATAACAATATAGAATTGGAATTTAGAGAATTTAGGAATTATAGAATTTAGAGATGATGGCTTTAAACAAAAATCAGCATTTAATTTTATGTAACAGAAGTCTTCAAAAGAAACCAACCAACCAATCTTCAACTCAATGATACAATGGCAAACACATTTAAAATTGGATTGATCTCACATGTGTATCTGGCAGGCCCATAGCAATAAATTGAGTATTGAGTAGTCTGACAATAGGATCTTCTTTACTTACCTTGCCCCCTGAAAAATGGTTGTCATCAAGCATTGCTAGTTTTTGTTTTGCATTAATTTTTTTTTTGTGGCTAGTTTATTTAGCATAATTTGTGTTAAGCTATAGGATCCTGAGGATCCATCTTTTCATTTGAACATGTCCATTGGGACATTTATCAGTTAAATAGCCAGGGAGTGAAAAGAAAAGATAGCTAAAAATTTTATTTATTGGGAAGAGATTTGAAAATGTTCTGGTGATTCCAAAAACAAAACTACAGCCAAGGGGTAATAGGTTCATTCACAGGAAGAGAGAACAGAATTCCTTTGGTCCTGGCTTATTTCCACGATAATGTCAAATTCTAGAAAGAAACCATTCAAATGTTCAGATATGGTAACTGACAGCTAACATGTGAAATGTAAGTCCATAAAAGAACATAGCTTGGTTTCAGCATTATGAGTTAGTGCAATGGCTCAGAAGGAATTGCTACTGAATACCACCTGAATTCTAAATGATATCAAAGGGAAGCCATTTTAGAGAACTTCTTCTGTTGATGGCATAAAAGAACAGAGTCAAGAAATCACTCATGATTTATGAATTGTTTCTTTGCTCTCTCTAACTCATGATGTTTGTGGTTCACCTAAAAGAATGGTTGTTAGAATCAGTCAAGATGAAAATAATTATAATTCTTAATATGTTTCTTAGTTCAAATTGCATTGGTCTTTAATAATACTTTTTTTAAAAAAAATTTCACACATTGTGTAATTGGGGCAAAAATGAGTAGGACAGGGCTTGAAAATAGTATTACACTTCTAGTTCTTTTATGATATCACTACAAAATTTCAGGTCGGATAATTTTCTTCAACTAATAGCTCATGATATAGATAAAACATTTGCCAGAATATTTCCAAGTTCTGTATTCCAATAAGCGTTTTGGAAACCTGTGGTTTTTTTTTTTTTGGTACAGCAAACTAATCACATATTTTATGCACAAATATACCCTTTAAAACTTTATTTTAATGCCAACAAAGGACATGATATGATTACTCCAAACTGATACGGAGAAAAATACAAACAAACAAACCTTTAATGTGTGCCTAACTGGTTTCTTGGCATGGGAAAGATTTTCAGCTTGTAAGCATGTAAGCAGAGTCCATCCCACACAAATGTTCCATCGAACAAAGTATTTATTGTAGAGTGGGCCTGATCTTGAGACAAGGGAGTAAACTGATGCCTTTTGGTAGGTACATTAACCATTTCAGAGCACTCAGAACCCTAGGTGCTCAATAAGAACTTGTTAAACCAAACAACTCCCAACATTTTGTGCACTAGAAAATGATCTTTGCCAACCAGGACCTGATGATAGCCATTTACTTCCTCCTAAGTCTCCATGCATACATAGATAGGTCCAAAGCACAATCAAAAGTAGCAAACTATTTCCCAGTTGCAATAACTACAGAATTAAAACTCTGTAGAAAATTAAGAATGGTGTCATGGGGTTATTGTGTTTTTTTCCTTGATATTTGTAGCTGAAGAAAATTTCTACTTTAAAATAGTTACTTTCACTTTCAAATGTGAAATTTGAAGCTCCTTGTTTTCCATTTGGGGGACCAAATTTATTAATGAGTTATGCTTCCTACAGTGACATTGTAAATGACCACTGGGAACCAGTGAGAGGAAAGAGGCAGTTGGAAGTAGAATGATGAGTTTTTACCAATTAAATTTGGAGAGATGTAGAGAAGCAACCACAGCGTCTGACAGTAGAGCAAATCGGGCATGCTCCCTTTAAGAGAGAAAGGTGTTTAGCCCTTTGGCAAAATTTTCTCCTCCCTTTCAGAGGGGAAGTGAAGAGTTGGCAGTGTCAAAATATGAGTGAGTGTGATGGAACAAAAGCAAAAGCAATTTTACACCTTACTGAAAGACACCTGGGAGTGGTTTTACCTCCCCTGGGCTCAAGACAGAATCTCCCAAACACGCCTAGAGGTAGATTTTTGGAAAAACAAGCTCCCTGTGAATGAGATGTAACTTAGTTCCCTGTCAGGGAAAGTGAAACAAGGAGCAAGATAGTTTCAGGAAGAGTGGGAGCAGAAAAGGTGCTGGAAAGTGACAAAATTCCTATTTGATCTGCTATAGAAACTGTCCATCTACAGTTGTATGTAAGTTTCAATGTATTCTGGAGTGGAGAAAATACTTCATGTTTGTGGGCTATATTTTTTTTTCCCTTACAGCTGAATTTTGAGAGGTTTGCCTAATAAGGAAAAAATGTGCATAATGTCAAATGTAAGCTTAGCATTTTGGAAGTTTGTAGAGCTCTTAGACAAAATCTTGAAATAATCATATTACTTCTTAATTGTAGCTAGCTAGAAATATTTCCAAGCATTTTGAATACAAGAGGATTGTACCATAAAGGAAAGCAAAATATTTTAGTCATTTCAGGTCAGAGAAAGCATAGTTGTATTTCAGGGTAATACATCCTGAATAACTATGATGTTTCCCAAAATAATATATATGCAAAATAATGTTGCTATGTTCCCTTACTGGATGTCTGCTTTGTTATTGTTGTTAGTTTTTTTAAATTGGGTCAGATTCTTGAACTTAAATGTGTAATTAATCCTGACTCTCTATGCCCTTCAAATGGAGTTATAGCTTACATAATATTCTATAATTGTAATAGGAATGATGATCTGCTAGACAGAGGCCAATTGAAGGATAAAAATCTATTTCTATCTTCCTTTTAGGTTTTAACTGAAAGCAAAGACATCAAACTATTACTCTGTTTGATGATCTGAGAGTATAAGAACAAAATGAGTTATTACGGCAGCAACTATCGGATTGTGAACATGGAGGGGAATGTGCCCAAGTACACTAACTGCCACCCAGAGAATATCATAACCGAGAAACGAAGAGCAAGAAGACGATTGCTCCACAAAGATGGGAGTTGCAATGTATACTTTAAACATATTTTTGGAGAATGGGGGAGCTACATGGTTGATATTTTCACCACCCTTGTGGATACCAAATGGCGCCACATGTTTGTGATATTCTCATTATCTTACATTCTCTCTTGGCTGATTTTTGGCTTGATCTTTTGGGTGATAGCCCTTCACCATGGAGATTTGTTAAATGATCCAAATATTACACCTTGTGTTGACAATGTCCATACTTTCACAGGAGCATTCTTATTCTCCCTTGAAACTCAAACCACAATAGGCTATGGCTTTCGCTGTGTCACTGAAGAGTGTTCTGTGGCAGTCCTTGTGGTTATACTTCAGTCAATCTTGAGCTGCATCATAAATACCTTCATCATTGGAGCTGCCTTGGCCAAAATGGCAACAGCTCGAAAAAGAGCCCAGACCATCCGATTCAGTTACTTTGCCCTCATAGGCATGAGAGATGGGAAACTTTGCCTTATGTGGCGTATTGGCGATTTTCGACCAAATCACGTAGTAGAGGGAACGGTGAGAGCTCAGCTACTTCGCTATGTGGAAGATAGTGAAAGACGGATGACAATGGGATTTAAGGACTTAAAGCTGGTCAATGACCAGATCATCCTTGTGACACCAGTGACCATTGTCCATGAAATTGATCATGAGAGCCCTTTGTATGCTCTTGATCGAAAAGCAGTAGCCAAAGACAACTTTGAGATTTTGGTGACATTCACTTATACAGGGGATTCCACTGGAACTTCCCACCAGTCAAGAAGTTCTTATGTGCCTCGAGAAATTCTCTGGGGCCACAGATTCAATGATGTTTTAGAGGTGAAGAAAAAATACTACAAAGTAAATTGCTTACAGTTTGAGGGAAGTGTTGAAGTATATGCTCCCTTCTGTAGTGCCAAGCAATTGGACTGGAAAGATCAGCAGCTACACAACCTTGGGAAAACATCCTCAGGCAAAGGATCAGGAATGACTGAAACCAAAGTTAGACGAAGGTCATTTAGTGCAGTTGCCATCGTTAGCAGTAGTGAAAATCCAGATGAAATGACCAAGACCACAGCTGATGAGAATAATGAAACGCCATATCAGAAAGCTCTTCTGCAACTAAATAGAATCTCAGTAGAGTCCCAAATGTAGCCTGCAGTGGCAGTTACAAATGGATTACTCTCTCCAACCAAGTTTTCTCAAGATAGCCACAATAAGGCAAATGGCTTGAAATGACCTGAAAAGAGAATTACAGTCTAGATCTTGAAAGTTAGTTTTTGTTACTATAAACCTGGATAGGCACAAAGATAGAAGAGGAGCATGATTAATAGAAAATCCAATAATCTCTCGCTATCAAAATGTTTCGAAGTCTATTAGCAATGTTGTATTTAGGAAACAAAACTGACAGTTCTTACTGTATCTTTTTTCACTGTCCCTGGCCGTTATCCAATGCATGAGTCATCGAACAGTAAAGTAATTAATAATTAGAAATCATTTATATAATGCTTTATGATTTACAAAGCATTTTCTTAATAGCAATCTGGGAAAAATGGTACAATTATTATATCAATTTTACAGAAAAAGAAGCTAAATATCAGTATCTGCTGCTAGTGACTATGGGTAGTTGATACTGGAACCAGAATTTGAACCTATATATTTTGACATCAAGCCCAGGATTCTTTCTCCTTTATCTTATGCTTATCAAAGTGCCTAAGATACTAGTCATAGTAAAAGACTTTTATAAGTATCATCTGACCTCTCCTTGCTGGATTAACTCTTGATTGTTCAAAATGATTTTTGTCTTTACTGACCCTTGAGACAAGTGGAGAAAGATGCCTTTTTCTTTTTTTCAGAGCATTCTATTTTCCCTCAGTTCTCCAGTGATGTGAATGGTGAGATTAAGGTAATGATAAGAGATTGAGGTGATTGCTATGCTTTGACACCATGGGCTTAAACCCAATGTTTTGGGTCCCACTATTTTTTGACCCATGATTGCCATCATTAACCACTCTCTTCATGGTAGTGACAGAGAGAAGGGTCAGAAAGAACAAAGTTTATGTTCATTGATTCACATTGCAAAATTACAATAGAGAGAAAGGTTAAGGATTGATAGATGCAGTGACAGATAAGACTTTTTTTTTTACTTTATCCTTGGAATTAAAACATAGCTGTGATAGCTAAAATTTGTACTCATGGTTATTTATGGACATGGTTTGGAACTTTGTCTTATGTCCAAGGAAAATATTATTCTCCATAAGACCCTTGCATCTGCCACCATTGCAAAGGCTAAGTTGTAGATTGGAACAAACTTTTTCTAATGACTGAAGACTCACATTTTGGTTTTTAGATTAAAGAAGTTTTGTTTTGTGATCTATGAAAAAGTCTAAATTCTAATTCTAAATGATTACTGCAAATAGTTTATCCTAAACAACTTTTTTATCCGGGAAAAGTGGATAAAAATCCTTGACAGCTATATTTGTATATGGCACATTGAGTGATTAAGAAGCAATTATGGGAACAAGGATTGTTTTAGAGTGAAGAGAAGATAATCATGATGATTTCTTTTATAATATATTCAATTATCTAGAAAAAAGAGAAATGTCATTGTAAAACTTGCAGTATACTCTTACATTGAATCAGTGACTACCTTCAGTGTTCTCTGTTGTATTGTATTGATTTTTATATACGCTATAATCTCTTGCATCAGATTTTTATTGTCGCTAAAGTTACATGATTTCATTGATGCTTCATCTAGAATAAGAATTGATTCACATAAAGTGAAATTGGGATCATTAAGATAGACTAGAGAGAAATTTATGGATTTCTCTGTGCCTGATTATAGGCAATTAAAGGTTATTAAGGAACATAATCAAAATAGCTCCATTATAATATGAATTAGAGGAATGTGCAGGTCACAACCTGCAAAACAGACTCTCTACAAAATCATTGTGAAGTCTAATTCCTCTGATCCAATATTAAGAATTCTTGCTTCTTTCTTGCCTTAGGTTGCCTAGGTAATATTTACTTTTATGGATTTATGTGTCCAGGGTTACTAGCAACAATTATCTAGCTAAATAAGCTCACAAAATCTGCCTAGTTGAAAAATTACTTTTTTTCATTCTGTTTAACCTAGATTCAGCCAAAATTCTCTTGCCTTTTTACTTGGGTAGACTTTGCCCATTTGTGCTATTTTCTTCTATTGCATTTTGTTCAAAATTGCCTCATTATATCTCCTCTGCTAGTAAATTCAATTTTGGAATGGCTCCCCAAATATATCCATTTAGCTTGAGTGCAATGTAAGCCCTATCTTAAGTCATAACATCTCCTGTCTAGCTTTAAATTTCTTCATTGGTCTATCTTCATATCTAAATGTGTTATATAATAGTAAAAATATTAAAATAAAGAAATTAAATAAAAAATAGTGCTTGTATATTGCTATATTTCACATGTTGTAAAAGATATGATATTTCTGTAGTTTATCATGCAGTGACACTAGGAAACTCAGGGTAACCCTGTACCAAATGACTCCTTGAAATTTAACAAAATGACTTCTAATAAGGTAAGTGACAATTGTCAATGTATTTTTCAGTGTGCCCACTGTGAGACTTGCCTAGCAACAAAGAGTCAAGTCATGCTTTTATTAGATTTTTTTCGCTTCATTAGATTAAAAGCAAACCTTAGGACAAAAGCACTCACTGTTCTAAATAATATTGTCGCCACAACCATAACTAGGATTGGAGATATGGAACATTTTTCAAGAGTGACAAATTTATAAGGTATGGACAGCACTTGCAATTGTTTAGCCAAATAAAAACAGCAAAATTTAGCAGCTAGTTAGCAAGACTCGTTACTCAAAATGAGACGCTACCAGTTAGAATGCTGGGCAGGTTAACAACTTACAAGGTGACCACTTAAGTAATGCTCTTCCATTGGTTTCTCAGGGTCTCTGTCTTGTATGCTCAGCATAGAGCAACATCCTCCCAAAAAACAGCTAAAGAACCCCAACATAATGACATGCCACTTGGTTTTGGTATAAAAATTCATTATTATAGCCTTGGTGCTCACATTGAATATTTTCTCTGCCTCGAAGGTTTACTTGGAATGGGGTTTCAGAGGCAGGAGCTAAGATTGCCAGATATTTCAAAGTACCATTTTCTTCTAGCCAACAGTCAAATGATTTGAGCCTCTGCCATGCCTATTGACTTTATGCCGGGAAGATATAACTGGTTCTATATTTAAAGTACAGAATATCTGCACACCTGCCCAGTTATCTCTCTCTCTTTTTTTAATTCCGGGTACCTCCAGCACTGTTAAGGTTGTTTGCTAATAGAACCAGGTATATCCTGGGAAAGTAGGTCAGAAAACTTTCACGGGGGCATCTGAAGGATACTAACCTTTTGAAGATTATTTTTCCCATGGAAAGTAGAAGTAAAGGAGCTTAAATTACCTAAAAGACTTGTTCCTGTATTAGAAATCCTTTGAAATACTAATTGAATGATTTTGAGAAAGAAACTAATGAGTTCATCTTCTTCCCATTTTTCCCCCTGCAGTGGAATTATATCCAGTTTTGCAACCTGGACTTCAGTTTGGGCTAGGGATCTAAAAAAGCTAGACTATCTTATCACTGGAATTGGAACTGGAACCAAATCAGTATTTCAGCAAAAGGGGTACTTTCAGTCCTAGGCAAAAAGATACCTAGATAAATGTTGTATTTCATGATGTCTAGGAAGTCAATCTTCATTAATTCAGAAAATCTGAAAAAAATTATAAATATGTAACCCTCCATGAAAAAAAAATAATGTGCTTCCCAGTTGAGTATTTTTGTTAAATTAATGTCCTTCTGAATTGTTCCAGGGAAAGTGTGCCGGGCTCCTCTTGTACACCTCCCTTTCTAAGGTTAGGATATAGAAATTCTATTCAGGGTAGAAAATCCTCCTGCCTATTGTCCAGATCCATTGATCCATTGCAGTTCCTACGTACAAAGTATATTTAAAGGCATGTGTCTAGGCTTGCGCACTGTTTGAGATAAGCTCTGTAGATAGAGTTTTGGAAAGTACCTTGCACACTTGCTTTGCTACAATTTACTGTTTCAGAGTAACAAATCCCTGCCTCAATTCCAGAATCAGATTCATTGGTGTTTCAGTTTTTTGGGGTTTTTTTTCTGTCTGGGGGAAGCAATTAACAATTTTATTCATGCCCTGAGAGTAAATGAAAGTACATCATTGTAGTGATGAGGGCACAAAGATCACAGAACACTTGGCAGAGAAGCAATGGACCAGAGCTATAGAATCAGATTGTTTTATTAGAGCTGCTGTTTTGTTTTGTTTTGTTTAATGACTATAAAGATTTGTTAAGAGGGAGGACTTCTACTTAAGATAGAATGAAAGTTAATTGGTAGTGATAGATATGAAAAAAGAACATGGAAAAAGCTTTCTAAACATTGCACAAATTGTACACAGGGAAGGGAAGAGAGGTGTAAAATTTGTTACTACCTGGTTAAGCTCAAATACTTTTATTTAAAAAAAAACTCTACGTGCCAGAAATTCCCAGGTATTTATGTGTCTTGAAAAGTGTGACTGTTGATTATACTGAATTCACAATAGAAATATTCTTTTTTTTTTTTAAAGAACAAAGCACTGAGGTTTGGGAGTGAGAGGTAGACCAGTGTGAACAGGGATCTCAGAGTGGATGTGGTAAGCTGTTCTTGGAGGAGATATTCCCATGAAAATGAAGCCTCTGAAATCTAAAGCTATGTGACCCAATTCAGATGACTTTGTAGGCAGAGAGCAAACAGACAATTTAAAAGGATCAGTTTCCCTGAAGGGATGTTTTAGTTGTGTTGCTGAGAGACCCTTGATGGCCTAGATTGTTAAGGGACTTTTCTGAGGGTAAGAACAACTTATCTCAAAATGAATTCTCCAGTGGTGCTTTTGCTGCTCTCATGTTACAGCATGAACTGAAATAAATCCAATTGCAGTGATTGTAGGGGAGAGTGTATTGGTTTCAGGGGAAGAAGGCCTAGGGTTGAATCCCAGTTCAGCATTTACTATCTGAATGATCTTGGACAAGTCACTTTATATGCCTGAGCCTTGGTTTCCTTATTTGTAAAATGAAGGGGTTGTGCCAAATAATCTCCAGGTTCTCTTCAAATTCCATTATACTGTGACTCTATATAGTTCAACCATGAAATTTGACTAGTGCATAAGTGATCTCTCATCATTGCCACCTTTCTTCTTTATTTTGGGATTTCCATATCTCCTGACAAGGAATTTCTGTCTCGATTTTTGGGAACTTGAACCTGCTGTCTTTTAATTCTGTTAGTTTAGTATATCCTCAGGTTTCATTGTAAAGATAATTACCTAGGAGAAAAGTCCTTCTCTCTGTTTGTTCTTTAGCATCAATTTAAATCTTTTCCTTCCTCTTTCCCTTCTTTCCTCTCCTCCCCTCCTCTCCCTCCCTTTCCCTCCCCTCCCCTCCCCTCCCCTCTCCTCTCCTCCCCTCTCCTCTCTTCTCCTCTTCTTTGCCTGTTTTCCTTCCTTCCTTCCTTCCTTGCTACATTCCTTCTTCCTTCCTCCTTACAATCAGAACTCTGATTCTATCACTGAACCAGATTCCAAGTATGAAACCACTCTCCATCCATGGATACTGGCAATTCGTCTGTAACAAGCACTGCAATGTTAAATGACTTGTCCATGATCCCATAGCCAGTATGTACCAGAGGCAGGCCTTAAAACAAGGACTTAGTAATAAGAAGACTTGGCAATGTTACATACTGTCAGTGTATTAGGGACCCTTTTGTTCTAGTCTGAGTCCAGAAAGGGTAATTCTGAGTAATTAGAGTAATGAAAATGTTGCTCAAGTCCCCATTTAGTGTATTTTCTACCAAGAAACCAAACTGAGTGATCAAAATAATATAACTTTTGATTTGTCTAGGCCAAAAAATAACAGGAACCTTAGAAATCATCAGTGCTTGTCTTCATCAATCCCACCTATAGACTAATCACCTCAAATGATGTATTATAAATATATAATTTAAATTACACAATTTTGCTCTACAAATACCTTTTCAAGGGCATGTTTTCAGAGAAAGAAGGAAAGGAACAAGTATTTATTAAGCACCTATTATGCATCAGACACTGTACTGAGTGCTTTACAAATATTATGTCATTTAATCCTCACAACAATTCTGGGGAGTAGGTACTATTATTATCTCCATTTCACAGTTGAGGAAACTGAGGCAAACAGAGGTGAAGTGTTTTGACCCACAGTCATTTGACTAGTTAGTGTCTGAGGCCACATTTGAACTCAGGTCTTCTTGATTCCAGGCCCAACCCTTTATCCTTATATGATTATACTCCTGCACTATTATACTACTACTACTACCAGAGAGAGACAGATAGAGACAGAGACAGAGAGATTGAGAATATTTCTATTGCCACTCAGGGACAAATACACCAACTCTTCCCTCACCACCCATCCAAAATTAAAAACAAAAACAAAAACAAACCTATTGTTCATAGGCTTAGCTCCTTGTTAACTCTTTCTCAGCTTATTTCCTTATTAACTTATTTTTCTATATTCAAAGTTAGTGAGTAACCAAATATTGTTTTCCTTATCACCTCCTGCTCTCATGCTCTCATACTAGGGGATTTTAATGTGCATATTGACAATATCACAAAAAACGCTAATGTCATAGTTCATCAATCTATTCAATTTCCATAGCCAACTCCTCAACTCCACCTCAACTATGCACAAAAGTGGTCATTTTGCCTTTGATTTCACTCACAAGTGT